CCGCAGCTTGTACCGGAGGATGCTTTGACCATCCCGGTGGGTTCTCTACCAAGTCCGGATACTCATTCTCTCAACCAAGAGCCTCATCCGGACTCTATCCATGGTAATGAAAGTGATGTGAAATCGGAAACACCAACAATGCATGAAGAAGAGGAGGAAGAGGAAGATGTGGAAGAACATCTACCTCCTCCACAACCTCTTAGAATAAGTGCAAGACTCCAAGAGAAAAGAGTCTTCTACAACAATCAAGCCGTGGCTCATCCAATGCAAGCCGTTTGTTCGCTTGCCCTCTTGCTTACCGACCATCAAGCATTTCTTGGAAAGATTGACGCACATACCATTCCTCAATCTTATGAAGAAGCCAAAGAAGATGATTGTTGGATTCAAGCCATAGAGGATGAAACCGGAGCCATGATCCGCAACCATACATGGGACGAGGAAGCTCTTCCCCCGGGAAAGAAGGCCGTAAGCTCTAAATGGGTCTTTACAATTAAGTACTTAAGTAATGGTGAGGTGGAAAGGTACAAGACTCGACTTGTTGCACGTGGATTTACTCAAACATATGGGGATGACTACACGGATACTTTTGCCCCGATGGCCAAGCTTCACACGGTTCGGGTTGTTCTCTCTCTAGCCACCAACTTATCTTGGGATTTGTGGCAAATGGATGTTAAAAATGCCTTCCTCCAAGGAGAACTTGAAGAAGAAGTGTATATGACTCCACCTCCCGGCCTTGAATCACTTGTCACCCCGGGAAACGTTTTACGTTTGAGGAAAGCAATCTATGGTCTCAAAAAATCTCCGAGGGCTTGGTATCACAAGCTAAGCTCCACTCTCAAAGATCATGGGTTTAAGCGATCCGAGGCCGACCACTCTTTACTCTTCAAAGTGATCAAGGTATTGTTGTTGTCCTCGTGTATGTGGATGATATCATCATCTCCGGGAACAACAAGGAAGGTATTCAAGACACTAAACTCTTCCTTAAGTCTATATTTGATATAAAAGATCTTGGTGAACTCAAGTACTTTCTTGGAATTGAGGTATGTCGCTCTCCAGAGGGCTTATTTCTTTCTCAAAGAAAGTATGCTCTTGATCTTTTGAATGAGACAGGAAAACTTGGATCCAAACCGGCCTTGACACCACTTAAAGAAGGCTATACGGTCAAGCGAAAGGGGGAGAAGAAGAAGGGCAAGAAGAATGTTCCCTTAGATCCTCTCGATGAGCCGTATGAAGACCCGAAGCAATATCGACGCCTTGTAGGTAAATTAATCTACTTAACTCTCACACGGCCTGACCTTTGTTTTGCCGTGACTCAGGCCAGCCAATACATGAAGAATCCCACCAAGTATCATTGGATTATGCCGGGGATACTATCACAAGGAGATCAACAACTGGCTATTGCACGTTCGTTGGTGGAAATTTGGTCACATGGAAGTCTAAGAAACAAAAGGTAGTTTCATGTTCTAGTGCGGAAGCGGAGTATAGGGCCATGAAGAAGCTTACAAATGAACTCACTTGGCTAAAAGCCCTCCTCAAAGACTTTGGCATTGAAACACCTAGACCTATCACCATGCATTGCGACAACCAAGCCGCCATTCACATAGCCACAAACTCGGTCTTCCATGAGAGAACCAAGCACATTGAAGTGGATTGCCACAAGGTCCGAGAAAAGATTGAAGAAGGTATAACACTACCATGTTACACTAGAAGTGAAGATCAATTGGCGGATATCTTCACCAAGGCCACATGTCCTAAGGTTTGCAATCATATTTATAGCAAACTTGGACTTGTGGACCTTTCACGCCCTTGATCAACTTCTCTAATTTGTGGACATCACACTCTTTTCCCTTAGTATAGTTTTGTCCCATCAGGTTTTCTATACTAAGGTTTTTAATGAGGTGATGCTTCACGGGTTCCAAGCTTAGCCATTTCATTAAGCTAAGCTTGAGGGGAGTATTGATCAAGATCTTATTGAGTATATCAAGATAGAATAGACCATTATAAAGTACCTTATAAAGTACAGATAGAATAGACCATTATAAGGGGTGTTAGTCACATATTGTTAGCTTCCCTTGTAAGCTTATCTCTTATCCCACTTATTTATATGTGTGGTTGTAAACCTAACAAAGTAAGAAGAGTAATTCTCTCTCTTTTCTATTCTTGGTGACTATTCATCTTCTCTCCCAATCTCTGTCTTATTCTTGTTACTCAAATTTAGCATCTCTCTATTGTTATTCCGCTTAATCTAACAAGATCCATCTCAAAAACCTTGGCTTTGCATCCTATTTTGTTAACAAGTGCCTTAATGTCGCATGATCCGTGAGGACTATCACCTTAGACCCAACCAAGTAAGATCTAAACTTCTTGAAAGCAAAGACTATGGTAAGTAGTTTCTTCTCCGTTGTGGCATATTTTACTTATGCATCATCGAGGGTTCTACTTGCATAGTAATTCACATGAAGCTTTTTATCCTTCCTTTTATCCAATATCCCTCCAACCGCATGATCACTCGCATCACACATGATCTCAAACGGTAAGTTCTAATCCGGTGCTTGAACAATGGGAGCACTAATACACTCAATCTTGATCTTCTTAAAGGCTTCAAGACATTCTCCATTGAACTCAAAAGCTACTTTGTTGCACAACAACCTTGCAAGTGGCCTTGCAATCTTTGAGAAGTCTTTTCTGAACGTTCTATAAAACCCGGGATGACCCAAGAAGCTTCGAATACCGTACCCGAATTTGATTTCTCTTCTTCTCTACTCTCATCTTTTATATCTTTGTAAGCTATTCAATATCGTCTTCTATAATTCTCTCAATCTATGTTTTAGCATGGATTGAAATTTGTTGATTGTGTTGCTTTGATGGATTTTGCTTTGATAAATTGAGATTAGTTGATTGTATTGCTTGTGTGGCTACAGACCTTGAATTTAATTTTGAAATGTGTTTAAGAAACTAGACAGCAAGATCTTTCCATTGATACAAAGATAGTCTTCTGGTTGCATTTGGTTTGATGGGAAATTGCTTTCAAAGTTAGTTGTTCGTATGGTTGTGTCAATCTAGTTAATATTATGGGATTTTTGTCATAACTTTAAATCTGTACATATAAATCAAGATCTGTTTTTTCATGTGGTTCCATATGTTCGTTGTGAATCTTTACACGAATTTTCATAATTTTCTGGGTTGTTTAGTGTTAAAGAAGCAACACACTTTAATTGGATATTATAGTCTCTCTCTATCTTTTCTGTTATCCATGTTTTGCTCAGTCTTCTTGGAGTTGTTTCTGTAGAGATTGATGAGAGTTTAGGATTGGAAGAATTGTATATTGACTCTCATAAAGATGATGTTACAATATACAAGCATATATATAGGAATAACATTTAACCTAGTTTCCTAACTAAAGAGATCATATAAAATATATACAAATCGTTAATATGATTGTGAAAGATATTTACATATCTTCTAGATATCCTCTTATACGCCCCCTCAATCTCAAGGGGATAATGAAGAAACAACCAAATTAGCGGCTTGAGATTGATTTCGATTATTATTAGTCATGTGTACATTTTGAAGAAGCTAAGGAGTGTTGCTCGTGGGAGATATTGTTGTTAACGATGATGATGAGCTATGAAGATGCTGATCAAGGTGGTGTGGACGACGGCATGATTGGTGATCAACCTTTGTCTTAGGAAGAAGAAGAAATCGATGTTTTGTTTTTTTTTTTTGTTTTTTTTTTATAATAAATAAAGCATTATTGAAAGAAAAATATTAAGAAGCTGCTTAAGAAAAGAAAATGTGAATAGCCAGTTTTTTTTTTTTTTTTTTGATGTGAAAAAGGTTAAATTTTTTTTTTTGATGTGAAAAAGGTTAAAAAAAATTTTTTAAAAAAAACAAAACAAAACCAGAAATTAAAAAGAAGCATTTTAGCTTGATTTTAAAAGTCATGAATAATTTTTTTTTCTTTTAAAAAAAAATAAAATAAGAAAAGTTAAAAGAAGCTCTTTTGGCTTAGATTCAGAGGTTCATGATGAACTTGAATAAAAATAAAAAATAAAGAAGCATTTGTAGCTTAGATTCAGAGGTCTATGTCATAGACTTGAATGAAAAGAAGCATGATGGCTTAGAGCCAAAGGTTCATG